CCCGGGAGAACCCCCACCCCCCCACCCCCACCCTGCCACTGGCGCAAGCGCACCCTCCAGCCCACAGCAAAGCCCCGGCACAGGTCCCGGCCGAGCCCACGCCGGCCTATGAGACAGGCCAGCGGAAGCGCCTCCTCTCCTCCGTGGACGACTTCACGGAGTTTGTGTGAGGCAGGGCCTGGCCACCGAGCGCGGATGAAATAAACTCAGTCCCACTGACGGCCAGGTCGCAGTCAGAAGGCTCCTTTATTCGACTTTGTCTGCTTTCTGGGGCGGGACGAAGGCCATAGCTGCGGCCGGGCCACGGGTGCCCCCAGCAGCAGAGGCCTGGCAGAGGGCCGCCCTGCTGCCCTCGCACGCTCATGCACATTCAGACGCTGCCATGCTCACCTTCCGAGCCCTGGGAGCCGGCCCCTGGGCAAGGTCGTCTCCTAGTCCCCTTGAGCCCATGTGGGGACCCCTATCCTTCCACACACATGCCTCGCTCCTTCACCCAGGCCAGGCCCCAGCAGGCCTGGGTGACACCTTGTGCTGTAGGTGACACCCCGGAGGGAGCCACCGGTCCAACAGGGACCCAGTGCCTGTGGCATGGGCCCTGGCACAGCGGACATTAGGGGAAGGGAGGCCATCTCGTAGTCTCTGCCCCCTCAGCCCTAGTGAAAACGACATACAAAAATATACGCATTTAACCCCATAAATTACCATACACAGTGAGCGCGGCCAGAGGTGGGTGCGGGGAGTGGCAGAGGTAATAACTTAGGGGGAGGAGGGTGGAGGTGCAGGGGCCCTCCCTGAAGCCTGGATCCTTGGGGGGATGTCTGCCAGGGCGGGGCCCAGCCCGCTGTACCTGAGGACTCCGGAATAAATACTCCACACTGCTGCGCCTCCCGCGGGCGGGGAGCTGGGGAGGGGCCCCGGGGCCTGCTGGCCACGCAGCCTCTAAAGTGCAGAAGCCCAGCGGGCAGGGCCGCCGGACACTGGTGTGCGTCCCCCTGCAGCCTCCATAGCAGGAAGACGTAATACTGAGTGGTGTCCGCCCTGGTCCAGGCGGCATGGCCCAGGTGTCCTGGCACTAGGAGTGGCAGGGGTGGACCTTGTTCTTAGCCCGCAGGGGTACCCTGCTGGGGCCTGTAGGGACCATGCCCCTGCTGGCACGAGCGAGGTGGTTGGGCAGAGGGGGCCACAGGCCTGGGGCAGGGGAGGCAGTGCCCCTGCAGCCCCCGCGGCCCCGCAGACTTTGCAGCTGCTGCTCCAGCCGGTACACGTCCTCTGTGGCCTGGTTGAGGCGGTCAAACTGCATGAGCAGGGCCTCGAACACAGCCTGGAGGCGGGAGGGCTCAGGCTCCGGCTCTCCCCTGGGGCCCTGCCGGCCCAGCCTGTCCAGCTGGCTGGAGCAGGTGGAGAGGTGGGAGGCATCGGAGCTGGCGCTGGGTGGGGGCACATCCGGGGACGACTTGGAGCCCCTGGAGGAGCGGGAGGGCAGCGGCTCCATGCCCTCAAAGCGGACTTTGTGGCGGAACTGGGGGCGGCACAGGGGCTCGGTCAGTCCGGCTGCACCCTGGGCTCACCTGGGCCCAGGGTGCGTCCCTCTCCCCCCCTCTGGGCCGTACCCACCTCCTTGACTTTGCTGAAGCCCAGCCAGAGGCTCAGCCGGCGCAAGAACAGCTCCACCATCTCATGGTCCTGTGGCTCCCAGGCCGGCCGGTAGAGGTCCCCGCGCAGTGTGTGGTACGGCCACCGCAGGAGGACAGCCCCCAGCCTCAGGGCCCCCCACAGCCGCAGGGCCCACAGGCCCACACACAGCATGGGGGACAGGTACCAGGCCTCGTTGGCGCACAGGGTGGGGCCCCCAGCCCTGGGGCACAGCAGCAAGAGCGTGTGGGCCACGCTCCGAAGGGAGTCCACGCAGGAGGCCGCGAGCTGTGGGCGGGGGCATGGTGAGGGCTGTGGCCAGACCCAGCCGGCCTCCCCATGCCCCAGCTGACACCTACCAGAACAGCCAGCTGGGCGGAGGCAGCACTGAGCACCACCAGGCCCAAGGCGGCCCCCGCGAGCTCCGGCACGGCTCTGCACAGCGTCTTGCCAAAAACGGACCACTGTCGCACGAAGCGCAGCTGCTGGGAGGCCTGCGGGCAGGGGCCGTCAGCCTGCGGCCTGTGGGTCTGCGCTCAGCCCCCCAGCACAGTCCGGGCCTCACCTTGACCAACAGCAGGAAGAGCAGGGAGGCCGCCAGCCCGCGGGCCCCAGCGCTCAGCTGCGCCACCTGGTCGAAGCTGGTGAAGCGACGCAGGCGGCCTCGCACAAAGCGGGTCCACTGGCGATCGGCGGCCCCCAGGTGGGCCAGACCCACAAGTGCCGCAGCCGCCGTCAGGGCCACCAGTAGCCACTGCGCCCAGGCCCGAGGTTTCCCCAGGCGTGCGCGCCCCTCCGCGCGCCAGGCGCGAACCTCGGTCACGGAGAAGTACAGCGCAAACAGCAGCAGGCAGACCTACGTGGAGGGGTGGGGTGGGGGCGGGGGTCAAGGCCAGGGGC